ACAAATACAATTTTGTAAAGAAAAAATCAAAAAGGTCAGTTCGAAATTGAATTAAAAATACACTTCTGCACGGCACTGGAAACTGGTCCACTGTAAAACCTGACCCGCACAATGCGACCGGTATGGCGGCGTGATAAAAACGGACAAAAACTTTCGCAAGGAAAGAAATATGTAAATAGAATTTTATCGCACCTATTTTATATCGGCAAATTCAAATGCTTTTGCCTTTATTAATTATTAATAAAATTAATTTGTGTTTTTAAATAATAAAATCATTTGACTTACCCGATGTTACAACAACAATTGTTCAAAATTTTATCCACTCACGTGTAAACACATTTGGGTCCGTCTTACTCACTTTCTACGAACTAACACAAATGATGTCTTGCTTCACCATAACACAAATGCTTCACCATAATACAAATGTTGTCTTGCTTCACCATAAATTAAAACGATATCCATCAACTCTGAGTTGCTATACACGCAAGCCATTTTTGACACTAACTACTAAAAAACTGATGTAAATACCACAGATAACAGGTAAAAACTACCGCAACGACGGATTTCAGTATTAGGAGTCACATGGATCTCCACGCGTATTGCGAATGACGCTAGAGACTACAGTTGTCCAGCTATGTAGTGGTTTAATGTGCTATAACTTCAATAATTTTTTTTTCAGAAACTATAAGGATTTTACAAAAATTTTTTTTACAATATTGACTCCATGCCGCATCTATTCCCAAATTTTTTTGGATAAGTTGTGAAACCCTGTATATATTTAAAATGGATTCATAAATTAAAGAAACCATAAGTGAACTGAAATTATTTTGAAAGAAGAATTATTTCTAATACATACCAAATTTTTTTCTTCTAAAACTGGTCTTGGAAAATGGATACCCAGATCTTTGGTTTTCATTTCATCTTCATATACAAATTAGTTCTGAAGAAGCGTAATCGTAGTAATTATAAATAAACAATAAGTAAGCAATATGTTTCTATAGCATTGACCATTTTTACATTTTAAAATTATCTGTTTTTTACCGACTAAATATACAGGCTGTCCCGCATAAGTACCGACACAGGGCAGTTGCATGGAGAGGTGTCCAAAATATTGTAATTTAACCAAACTTACCTGCCTATATACAAAGTTGTACCCCTGAGGAGTTATTAGCTCCAAAAGTGGGGCCCTAAATTTCGCAGTAGAATCAAATTTGGTACATGATTTAGATTTATTACTGGTCTTCTTTGACTATGATTTAAAGTTAATTGAAGCACTACAAAGTGTTCATTGGGGATGACTCACCCCTAAAATTGCACCGAACTTTTATTTTCATTGTCCGAATTGAAAAATAGTAATATTAATTCACAGCAGAATTTAATTTAAATTTTTTTTTACACCCCTACATGCACTTGCCCTGTGTCGGTTCTTATGCGGACACCCTGTAGATATACTTCCTATACTAGATTACTAGATACTACTTGATAGATATAAATAGAGATTATTTTCCTTATAACAATTGAAATCATTTCTAGAAGTAGTTAAAGTTTGAGTATGCAATTTTTTCAAAGATACGTACTTATCTACTTTCTGAGTATGGACTAATTTTTGTGGTTTAACTAACATTTATCTTATTAATTGGTAATTCCAAGATGTAAACTTAGATCATTATCGAAAAATAAGTTAACTGAGACCGTAATATCTTCAAACTAATTAACTATAGTTATTTATCTACAGCTACGACGTCACTATATTTTCCGGTAACCTTGAATGATTAGGTAAAATTAACATTTTACAATACTATATTTTATCAAATTCCAGCTCCAGGAAAGATTTATCGACAATTTTATTAATATAATTTTTTAATGACGACTACAGCGTAATAATTTCGCAGCAATTCAGGAGTTTTTTAATTAGAAGCATTATTAACAAATTTATTCAAATATAAAGTTGTTTAAATTGCTTAAAAATGTCGTAAATGAAAGAGGTAACAACCTTTTGGAGAGTAGTGCAGCATTACGACCCATTGTGCATGGCGCTAATAAGGGTTAAAAAAAATGATTAGTGTCAAAGAATCGCTATAAGAGCAGCAATTTGTTCTTTATTTAAAAAATAAGTAGGTATAATTTAATAATCTACTTTTTATGCGTAAATAGTAATTATTAATGACTAAACTATTCTCTAGGTTCAATATTCTCCAAATGGCCAACGAAAGTTATTTTCTATATCTACCTATATTACACAAGAGATTTTTATGCATAATTTAAATATTTCTGTACTGCTACTTACAATAATTTTTGCAAAATAATTAAAACGTTGTAGGATAACAGTTTTAATTAGTTTCCTTTAATTAAACATTTTCTATTAAAATATTTTACAAACTATTCAAGTGAGGATCTTCTTTATTTTGTCTACTTCTATGACTTTTAGCAATCATTCTTCTTAATAAACTGAGTTACATTTTGTTATTACAAAAATCGGATTATATTATAAAAATAAAATCCGAGTCGATTGAACAACTTTGTGGTACTTAATTAAAAATTATTCATTGAATTACGCATGGATGGAATCGTTATTTAAGAATAATGGAAAAGTGTTCACCAAAATAATTTTTTTTTCTGCATGTCGTCCAAAATGTTCTAATTTATTTAAAATATCTCTGGTACTAAAATTAATTTTATTAATATTGATGTAGAATGTAGGCCAACAATTTTTTTGGCACACTTAAATATTACAGCAAATTTCATGTATTTCCTTTTGAAAAATATTTAGTAAATGAAAAGCCAAGTGATTTCCCCAGCAAAGTCGTGAACAATTTATTTTAACAATAAAAACTGCAAAAAAAATATATTCTTTTGGTTTTTTTATAATATCTCGAAAAATAATGATGGAATCGCCTTACTCTCAATAGAACTTTTGTAAAGAATAAAAAAAACCTATAAAATGGTTTTTTATGCTACCCGATCGGTTCATTTTTTTACAACGAATATCCGGAAAAACCTCTAAAATGGACCTTTCTTCAAAAACTCATAACTCCGTCAAATTTGAAGCTGGAAAAACAATATTGCGGGAAATGACAGATAATAATATGTAGTTGAATCGTGCCCAAGATGGTTTCTGTCCGATGCATAATTTTTGCACAATTGCATTATAAACAAATTAGTCTTTTTTTTGCACAGCGTGGCGATTTATCAAAAATGATCCGATTTAAATTCTGAAAACGGCATCTGAAAGTAGACGACAAACTCTCCAATTTGTATATCTCGGATTTTCGTCTGGGTGATGGGAAATATGCTAAAAATGCCCTTAAAAGTCGCCCGAAATAATCGAAAGTACTCTCGAGCCAGAATCCTCCGCTCGCTTCTTCCCCCACTTTCGCTACCCGACTCTTCAAATTTGACGGTTATGAATTTTTGAAAAAAGGTATATTTTAGAGGGTTTTCCGGATTTCCTTTGTACAAAATGAACCGATCGGATCGCACAAAAAAACATTTTATAGGTTTTCTTTTCTCTACAAAAGTCATATTGATAGTAATACGATTCCATCGTTATTTGTCGAGATATAAAAAAATGCATTTCTTGCAGTTTTTGTTTAAAAAAAATTGTTCATGACTGCTGGGCAAATCACTTGAGCTTTCATTTACTAAGTATTTTTCAAAAGGAAATACATGCAATTTGCTGTAATATTTAAGTGTAAAAACAGCCTCTTTTTTCACTCTATTGGTTGGCCTAATGGTTAGGTACATTTTCAAAAATTATGGCAGGCAACAGGGAAAAAAAATGTTATTTGTATAATGTAATAAATTAGCTTTTTGTGAAGAGTTAATTTTTTGATAAACATAGAATTTATTTAAATGTGTTCAAATTCAAAATGCAATGACACTATTTCAACACACTATTAATTAATAATTAAGTATTAATACTCTGTATCTCACAATCAAATAAAGAAACCCAAACAGCAAATGTTTATGTAGGTACGAAAATTTAAATGAGATAAATACTACTTCATTTTGGAACATTGCACCCTGTATAGGCATTTCATTTATCTGAGTCTAATAAACTCATAACTCCATTACCAATATTTACCTTCAGATAATATTCAATTCATGCTTATAAGGAAATTAATTATATAAATATCGATGTTATACTTTCGTGATAAAATTTTTTGGTACATCTGGTCATATAATTAGAAAATATTCTAGTTTGGCGTAACTAGACATTGAAATTGAGGACAGTAATTTGATTGGATAACAGAAATAAATATTATTAAATACTTAATAAAAATTGTATCTTTAATAAAGTACAAACTGTCAGTAAAAAGAAATATTTTGAAAAGTTAAATACGTGATAATTTTAACAAGCTGTCGATTTTATTAATAGCATGGTATTACAATTAAACTTATTACCCTATAAAATAACTTATGCAAGATATATATTTATCTAATGTGAATCATATGATTCCAAGGACAATGGTGTACATACTACATATAGGATACAATATAAACGTTTGAAAATTTTAAATCTGAAGATATATCTCATCAACCAAATTAATGAAATGAAAGAGTAATACAGGTACACCCACTGCCACTATATACGAGTATACGTGTATCACTAATTAATATTCCTATTAGCTACACCGCAGTACAAGTTACGACATTAAGAAAGTATTTAGTTTTCAAAATAAAAAATCAAAAAATTATTCACATCTTTCTCTTAAGTTTTTGAATCTCGTTCAATACGTATGTATGTAGATAGGTTCCTTCTTAAATATGACTGTATAAAATTATAAATCATCACTTATTTCAAATAATTTAATACAGAAATAAATATGTATACAACCATACATCCTTTATTTAACATTAGCAAAATGCGTTTTATAATAGGTCAATGTCGGACAGACAATCATGTGAATGAATTCAATATACTTATATGTACAAATTATGTAACAATGATATATAATATAATTCAGCTAATGGACAATTCCGAAGAAAAATTTACTCACTTTTTCTCAAGTCATCTCACTCGAAATTACGTAAATGTAACAGCGCTCGCACCAGGAAGCACAACTCACATTTAAATCGTCGAAATCGTGAACTGGCGAGTACGGGGAAGCCTTAGTGTGAATTCGCGCACAAACAGGGAGTCTGTCGCACGCGCGCAGAGTGGTCACAACTATTTTTCGCGTTATCGATTCTAGTCGCGAGACTCCTGACTACTCAGCAAGACAGCTTAAATCCAGACCTAACCGGGCAGACTTATCTACTCGAGAAAATTTTTTTCACGTGATCAACACGAGTAAAATACAATTTCACGTAAATATTGGGTTTGACGTCTGATTGTAAATCACGCCATGGCACCGTGCCAACTATTTCGGTATTCTTCCCATGCGAGGAGCAGAAAATAGCGAATGAGTAGTTGATGCAAACCTAGATGCGAGTGACCTCCATTAACTTGATCTAGGATTCACGTTCTGGCGTTATCACATCCTTGAGTGACATAATGATGAAGAAAGCCATTAAAGCTTAGACACATAGCAGTGGCGGCTATTGCAGGGGGCTCTGGGGTGGCACGACCCCATAGAAATTTTCATAGCAAAAAAAATGAAACACATTAAAAAGGAAATATTAAATTTCTAATGTGCAGTCAATTTAACTCGACTTGCAAAATTCGTTTGAAAAACTCTGAACTCTCCGCCTAGCTCGCTTCTACATCTGTAAAGTGTTTGCAGCGGTGGTCATGGTTACCGTCGCGCAGCAGTGAAAAATGGAGTGGGGGTAGTGCACGTTTACTATGTAGTTTGGGCTTTGTTTAGTCCGACCATAACCAAATAGTACCTTTTCACGACTTTTTTTCTTATTAGACGTAATTTGTTCAGGTGTGGTGTAAAATTTTGTTACTTACGTATACGTAAAGACAGACTAACAATAATGCTAACTATTGAAAAATAAAATGTGCGAGAAATACCAATTACCTTTAATGAAAAAGTAATTAAAAGCTTATTTCGCACAAATCCAGAATGGACACTATGAAATAATAATATTGAACACATTTGTCCTATATTTCAATAATACTCGTACTTAAAATAGAACTGCTTACAATACTTACCCAATATATTTTTTCTCAATACTTTGTACCTAAACTTTTCTGTCCTTCTCGGCATGGAATTCAAGAGCCGCCACTGATACAAATCAATCCTTTATGTAATGTTTATCGCAGAAATGAAAGGGCTCTGTTGACAATAGTTAATTTTCCAATTCTGTAATATATACAGGGTGTCCGGTAACTGCGGGGAAAAATAAGGGTTATATAGAGCAGGTCAAACGAGTGCTAGTACTTCATATAAACTTTATACATAGGTGCCATTGTTGAGGAGTTAGTTATTGTCACTTAAAGTAAGAAGTTGAAAAATGAATATTGCCCATAATTTCTAAAGGGTTACTTTTATTAACTTGAAATTTGGGGGATCAAAGCAACTCATTCAAATGTATCTTTGTACATTTAAAATTGAATCAAATATTTTTTATTATACAAGTACGGTCGAAATTATGTTCTAAAATTTACGCAACTTTGACAGAGCTGTCAAGTTTGACATTTCGCCCTCGCAGGCAGATAGCCCTGTTACTTTTCTACAAAAAAGGTATACTTCATGACTTATGAAAAAATGAAAGGTTGTCAAGATAATTAAAGTTTTGTATTTTGCGTATAGCCACAACCGGGGACACAACGCAACAGAAAAAAGTTGAGTTGAATACACCAATTCTTTTAGGTAACCCCACAGGAAGAAGTCAAGGGGGTTAAGATCTGATGACCTAGGTGCCCATGCATAAGTGTGGTCCGCCTCGCCCAATCCACCTATTACCAAATGTTGCGTTGGGGTAATTTCTAACTTCACGACTGAAGTGCATGAAATACATCTCCTGTTTGCAATGGCACATTTTCTAGTAGTAGATTTAGATCGTGTTGTAAAAAATTCAAATATCGGGCACCGTTTAGTCTATCCGGTAAGAATTGGTAATTGGTTACCCATACATTAACTATGCGTCTTTGCTGGTGTTTGCCTTGAATGACTAAATGAGGGTTTTATGGGCACCTAGGTCACCAGATCTTAACCCCCTTGACTTCTTGTGGGGTTACCTAAAAGAATTGGTGTATTCGACTCCGGTTTATACAAGAGAAGAGTTGATGGCAATAATAGAACATCATTATAATGAAATTAAACAGAATCCACAAATGCTATTTAGAGTGCAACAAAATAATCTTAAAAGAATAAGGATTAAACTAGATGGAGGACATATCGAGCATTTACTGAAGTAACCTCATTTAATCCATATGTTTCATTCTTATCTTTTTTTCTGTTGCGTTGTGTCCTCGGTTGTGGCTAGACGCAAAATACAAAGATTTAATTATCTTGACAACCGTTCATTTTTTCATAGGTCATGAAGTATACCTTTTTTGTAGAAAAGTAACAGGGCTATCTGCCTGCGAGGGCGAAATATCAAATTTGACAGCTCTGTCAAAGTTGCGTAAATTTTAGAACATAATTTGGACCATCCTTGTATAATAAAAAATATTTGATTCAATTTTAAATATACAAAGATACATTTGAATGAGTTGCTTTTATCCCCCAAATTTCAAGTTAATCAAAGTAACCCTTTAGAAATTATGGGCAATATTCATTTTTCAACTTCTTACTTTGAGTGACAATAACTCCTCAACAATGGCACCTAGGTAAAAAGTTTATATGAAGTACTAGCACTCGTTTGACCTGCTATATATAACCCTTTATTTTTTCCCCGTAGTTACCGGACACCCTGTATATAACCCTTTTCTTTTATTCATTATTTCGGAATCAACGCGTTACGATCCGATGGAAACCAATCAGGTTGCTAGATTTCGGATCGTAACGGGTCATGATTCTGAAATCATGAATAAAAGAAAAGAGCTAATATGTTAAAGGTATGGATCAATACCGAAGCCATGGCAGTTTAAAGTAACATTATTCTGGTTGACATAATGATAAAAATAAAAATATAACTGAATTCGGTAAGATAAGGTTAGGTCATGTTAGATTCGGTTAGATTAGGTTAGCTTAGGTTAAGTTAGGTTATAATGGACACTAAATTGGTCATATACTGGAATCACGAAAGTAGACATATGAGGAAATAGAACAAGTTGCTTTATGAATTTTTAATTAAATGTTTCATATTCACTCATCTCCTTTGGATTATCCTATAATAACTAGATGTATTTAAAAGCTAAATAGAAGTAAGTGAAATTAACGATCTCCATTTCTTCAGCATTGTTAAAAAAAACGATTTTGTCTCATAATTTGGGATCATCCTGTTTTATATACCTTATATTTTTCTTATTAATTTAATAAATTTTCAAATTTCACCTAATTTTACTCGACGGTTTTATCAAAAAACTTCGGATCATCCTGTATATATGTATAGCTCGTCCATATTTTTTTCTTCTGTATACTGTCTTATAAATCATAGATTTCCTTATTTACTAGTTTATACCAGACTATACGTTACAAGATCTTAAATTTAGATTATTCAATACATCAAAAGTCTTACAAGTTCCTTGATTTTCTTCTATTTTTTGTCTTTCTTTTTGTAAAATTATCTTGAAACTTTTTTGACAATTGTATTGTTCGCTAAGACGTCAGGGTTTAAAATGTCACGTTTGTAATAGTATATTACGTAATAAGTGTTGTAAAAAGCATTTTACGCACGAATGGAAAAGTTACGCACGACGCCCGTAGCGGCGAGTGCGTAATTCTATGAGTGCGTAATTGCATTACACCACTACTGTAAATACTTAAAAACACACCGTCTGCGATCAATGTAAGATTCCTATTACGTACTGTAAAAAAATCGCACAGCTTGGTAAAAAAATCGTAGTTTTCCTAGCAACCGCCTAGCAACGGTCAATACAATACTGTTTGTGTATTTAAGTATTTACAGTAGTGGTCGTAGGTAAAGAAAATTAAGGTCTTGAACAAATTTATTTGGAAAAATGTGTTCTCATAATACAAAAAATATTATTCCATGTGCAATCCGAAGCCAAATTTGAATTTCTGCTACCCAATTTACTAATACACTAAAACCCTTACGGAATAAGTCAATTGTTCAATCTTTTTAGAATTACTTAATTAAAAAAAAATTTTTTTACATCTTCCTGCAATTTTCTGCCAAAAAATATAGTATAAAAAAGTCACCACTAACATTTTCAGAGGATTAAAAATAAGGATATGAATATTTGTTTGTTTTTTGTGCACCTTTATATGTTGACAATTTTTTTTAACTGAAAAATGTTTTATTTCGAAAAATCTGACAAAATTCTCCTAGACCCTTTCCTTAATACCTTAATACTTCATTGACTAAAACTTAAATGTCCAAAAAGTCCTTTTCTATTTATTTTTACAATAACCTTATTTACAGTTCTTATGCAGATCTCCTGTGTTAACATTTTCTTTATGATTTCCTACCAAATCTTAGAACGTAATGAAATAGTGACACCATCAACGATTTCGACAGATTCAAGTTTCCAAATATTTACGAATGTTAGAAAATTTTTATACAGGATGTAACAAATATCAAATTTTACAATTTTACCTGAAAGTAACTACTATGAAAAAATAATATTGAACCAAATTTGACTCAATGATTCTTGAGCTATTTATCAAAAAGTTAATTTAATTTTCTATATTTTAGAAGTTGCAGAGCCTTTAAAAATTGTGTTACAAAACTTGTTACGCATCAGCATTGAAAGTTTGTCATTCAGTTTTTCAAATATTCTTTAGGGATTGAATTGAATTGAATCCTAATTGTTTTTCAGATAAAAAGAAAATATTCATACCGTCTGTTGAGGTTGGCATGAAGAGAGAGACGTCTTATCATCCCATTTGCCTCTTTGTCGTCCAGCAGGAAGAGGAGAATATAGTCATAAAATTGTGATTAGATTTTGTCAATAAACCATGGAACCCATACTATTTTTTAGAGAATGATTTCTAGGCCTAAAAAAAGTGAACGAAATTTTCGAAATTAAAAATTAAAATAGGAATGGATGTCCGACCACCAATCATGTAAAAATGGCTTGAAGAAGATTGCACATAATATATATCAGCATTTTTTTTTTTTCGTTGTCAACTAATAGATACAAACAGGTGTTTTTTTTTCTTATATATTTTTCATTATCAAATT